TGTTTAATTAGTTGACAGCAAGTTTTAAATTCTCTCTTTAAAAAAAAAAAGTAAATGACACATTGAAATGTGAACATTTGAAAATCACAATAATGAGTGTTTATATGCTAATTTGAAATAATTTATTAATGAACATACACCTGGGTAGTGCAGTTTGAGTTGACAGGCACTCAAGTATTGCTTTTGTTTCCTATTCTTTGAATTTACAACTTCAATTCAAACATAACTTGTTACTGCTCATGATCAATGTGAGTTTTAAAAAAGGAGAAAAAAATCTGCCCTCCCCCAAACCATTAAAGTGAAAAGGTACTATTGTCTGCTTTTTTTGGGGTAGAGTTTAGTTATTTTCGTGGCATCATGTGAAAACACGTGGTCATATGCAAAGAACTCAGAATGAGTTGCAGCCTGCCAACACCTAGATTAACGAAATATCTTTATTTCTTGCACTGGGCTGTCATCTTTTGGCCATCCATCAAATGTGGTGGTGTCCTTTCTTTTCTTTTGTTCTTGGGCCTCTGCTCAGGCTTCCTGTCTTGTACGACTGTTTGATTTCCCTCTACCTTTCTTTTTATATGGTTTTTGTTGACCTCCTGGTAAGACGTCTTTCATTCCTACAATCTCTTACCCTCCTCTTCTTGCATTTTGCCTTCTTTGAATTTTCTGCCATCTAGCTACAAAAATCCTTTTTCGTTCGTGGCATTTGGCCGTACCGTTTGGCCTTGAATTTTATTTCCGCGTGATGAAAAGTTCCTCCGACGTCACACCTTTCCTTTTGCTCTCTCTGTGCACGAATTGTACACCTTTGAACACTGGTAATTCTTTTTTTGGGTGCATGTGTTTTTGTCAGAAATCCTGCTGCCTTTCCTAAGGCCCTTGGCTTCTCATGTAAAGTCGCACACTTTTACAAGGCCTTTTAGAAGTAAAGGTAGCATTTCACTGAACATGCCGAAAGATAATAGGAGGTCAGAATATGAGATGGGGTAGGAAAGCCCAAATGGTGTCGTTTACACTTTTTTCGGGCCCTTGAGTGTGTAAATTATACTAATATAGTGACCGTGGGTAATACATCATTAATTCGCATGTTGCACAGTACTTTTGAGATGTATATTAGTTTGGAGAGGCCGGGGAAGTGCTGCAATGATGATTGACCTGAACGCGTCTTCTGAGTAAAGTGTGTTCTTTGGTTCTTTATGACTTTCGATTCTTACCTATTTATGAATGCTTGCTTTTCTCCCAGGTCGTAGGAGGCCTAGATATCCACAAAAAGATGGTCGTAGATGTGTGACTCTGTAGGGCACCACCCAACACTTTTGCTTTCTTCTCCATCTCTGAAGATCTGCTCAAGACGTCCAGCAATGCTCTCTGTGTATTTAAATGGAAGTATTTTTCTCTGTGAAGCCACATTTTCCAACATGAGCCTCATGAAGCCAACTAAGTGTTATTGAACTTTTATTCTCTCAATAACTCAGTGTAGCACTTTAAAGTCTGAAGGACAGCAAAGATGGAAAGAGCATATCAGTGTGGTGGAGAAAGGGAAGGGGTTGGCTTTTTAATTTATTTTTCTTCATCTTTTATAACAAGGAAATATCTATCTATATATATATGTGTGTGTGTATTTATATATAGATATATATGTAGCTTTCTATATGTAGTAGCTAGGTGGGCTTTAATTTAATATACTTGATTCAGAAACAAAACTAGAGTACAAAGTGCCAAGCAGAATATTAACAGTTCAATATATGGATATACATCCTTACTTTTATTTCACACAGTTTTATATATATAGTAGAAGAATGTAAAATTTTAACTGGGTGTTAGGTCAACTCTTTTCCTTTTCCTGTGACTGTTCAGATGTTTCTATATATTGACTGGCTGACAAAGCATTGCTTCTTATTAATTCACCTTAATTACGTTTTTTGTAACACAGGAGACTAAGTTTATTTATACCTGTTAATATATTACCAGGGACTGTGTCTCTTTGCTAAGTAACTTAGTACAGTTCTACTTAATATGAGAATATAGTTTAATGCTACTGCCAAGAACTAGCCCTCGTGTGCATACAGTAACTGCAGGCTGCTCTGATGGCCGCTAGATTTTCTCACGTAGGAACTGGGAGCAGTTACAGCTGTCCTGAAGTGAAGGCAAATCTGCTGTTCTGGATTCATTTTAGATAGAGCTGCTCAAGGTGTTAGATGCATTCGTGGTTTTCTCTTGTGCTTAGCTGAATGAAATTAGGATTGACGTAACTGTGCAGGATTCCCATCCACGTATTTTATACAGTACTTAGATTATCAAACATTCTTGCCATTTAAATTCTGTTGTTCCAACCACAATAGTTTCCCCTCTGCATTTAAAGAATACTACAGGTAGCATAAATAACTGGTAATATTTTATATATATATATGTATATAGGATTCATATGGGGGAAAATCTTGTTAACCTATGCCATAGAGGAGGAAAACTTCACACTGTCTAAATTTATACCTCTTGCGGTTCTCCAGTCCTTTGCCTGGAGAATTTTTTTCTTTTCTAGATTTGTCCATATCATGATTTGTAATGGATGGTAACTTGATACATTTGTGTGATATAAAAGTAGCGAGCCATGTTTTACAACTTTATATCATCCCTTCCCTTTTCTGCAATGGTACTATTGGCTGGAAGAAAAACATTTGCTAGATTTTTTAGGACAGTACATCTTTCCTGTATAGTAGTTTTTTCTATTAAAAAAAAAATTGTTTTATAATCAGCAGTGGAAAGTGCAGGTTGTCTGAACCTACTTCAATCGAGCACCTGTCTGCCATAGCTGTTCCTTCAACTGAGTGCTGCACATCATGGGCTCTGTCTGTGAGAGAGAAATCCAGGTGCTTGGTGTCCTTGCATGACATGAAGTTTTGCATGTAGATCGATTTGAAATGTTCCTCTTGTTTACATAATTTGCATAATTTAAAAGATAATGTTGCCAAACTTTGGTAAATGTTAATGTTCAAAACAAAAATCTCCACTACATGTAACTTTTCTTCCTCTGGATCAGTACGTGGCTTATAATCCCAGCCAGTGGTGGTATCTGTTCCAGTGTCAACTGCCATGTGCTCTGCTTCAAGGGGGAACGAGTCTTTTGTGAATTTTTTGTACATAAGTATTTGTTACAAACATTTTAGCAAATGCTTTCGATTTCTCTTACTTGCTTGTGCATATCTTGGCTGGCATTATAGAAATTAGTGCTAATGTTATTTCCTTAGGGGGATTGGAAGGGGAGGGATGAGGTTTGGTTTGGTTTTTTTTTTAGTTTGTGTGGGGAAAAATGATTTACGTTGAATGTTTAGTTTTTCCTCTGCATGCTACATCATATGTTGTGGGAACTATAAGAATCTTCATACTATATGAATACAAAATAAAATATTTGAACCTTGGCTGGGGTGCTTCAGTACTTACCTAGACCTTTCCCATTGAACTGTGAGCAGCCCTGCACCCTGCTCTGAAGAAAACTTGCTGTTCACAGGTTTTGTCCCGATTATAAAGAATTATTGAAAAACTGTACAGGGGGCAGTGAGTCCCCTGAATACTTCCAGGCTTCATTTCAGTGTTTCAAGACCACTTTGGTATTTTTTTATTAAAGCCGCCATATCTGGTTCTCTTTGCTACATGTCCAAATTGGATAAAATACCTTGTTTAAATCCTACTATGTTCAGAATGATTGTGTTAAGTGGAGGTGGTTGCAAAAAAACAACAAAAACCCCCTAATGTTAATGTAGGTGGGGAATGAAAGGCAGCTGCTTTCTCAAGGAAAGGTCTGAGACCTCTGCTGGTGAAAACAATCCTCCCTGGAGCAGGTACGTCCCTTCACAGAAGCTGTTTGCTGTTGCTCTTTGCGTTGCAGTTGTTTGCACCTTCTGTGGCCTGCCCTCTCCCTTTACTGCTTTTGGTGGGTGTCAGTATGCACACCTGCTGTATGGTAAAGATCAGATTACTTTTGTGTGTCCTTCTCTTTCAAGTTAACAGAGATAAATGACAGAAGCAACCAGTGAACAGAAAATATGCTGAGCAGGTCAGTGCAGGGTTTTGCCCTGAGCTGCACAACATGTGCACACTCTGCCCTAGCAAGCTCAGACTCCTGAGAGCTGTATGTTCAACTCACCAAGCCTTAGATCTTGGGCAACTGAAGGTTTGAATTAATTTGGCTATAAGAATCATCCCGTACTACAGAGTACTTGCATTTTTGATAATCTCATTTCAGTTTTTACTTTTGTTCACAAACCTAAACTGTTTTTGTGAAACACTTGGGTGAGGGGAAAAAAAGGGCCCACCTTTAAGTCAAATGAGGACTGTAGCTGGGCCCCAGCATCTCTCCCCCTCCTCTGGTGCATGCGTGGAACATTTTAGAGAGGAGACAGAGCAGTGGGGAGTTGTCTGTGCTCTGGTACACTGGCCAGTTTTCATCTGGAGACTCTTGGCATCACTAGCCTGCCTTTACAGATCATTTGTGAGAATAAACACAGTTCATGTAGGTACAGATTCTAGGATTAAGTTTGAATACACAATTTCCCTCCTCTTGCCCTTTCTGTGTGATACATTGTCCCTCAGCAGCAGAGACTCCTTGGGCAGCCTGCTCTTGAACTTTGCATTCCTTTTCCTAGGAAGATACTGACCCATGATGGGTGGCTATGAACACTTAACTGTGCTGGTTCCTTTAGGCTCAAACTCAAAGGCTTTCCAAAGTTCTCACAGCAGTCTCTTTAATACTTTGACGTTCAGAAAATCAGTAATGAAACATGTTTTTGTTTGAGGATTTTAGATAAAATCAGGTACCCCTACTTCTGATACAGACACAACTGATTTACCATAACTTTTAATGACTATACAGAAATAGTAAGTCTTTTCAAATGGGACATGCTGTCTGATTGTGCATTTCAATTTCAAAACAGTCCTGGTTTTCTTCTGGGCTTCCAAATCAAGCAAGTCTTGAGTGCTTGTGTAGCTCCAGAAACCACAACTCCCAGTCCCAGCTCAGAATCGTTCAGCTGCTCTGCTGGCCACTGCCCGAATATTGCCATAAACTTTTGAGGGAGGACTTCCTGCAGAAGAAAGCACAAAGTCAGTCAAGCAAACGAGGTAATGTGTGTCACAAACAGGTGTTTTGCGCTTGTGTCTGTGGTAAAAGCAGAGAACTAAGCCCATGGTCAAGGTTAGCCGCCTTGTCTATTGCTGCAAGAGCAGAGCAAAACTTCTGTCAGCTTTCTATAGACGGTGCATTTAAAGAGCTGCTCAGGGAACACTGCAGCTAAATCTAAACCAGGAAGTCTGCCTTCTGCACCACAGAGAAGGTTTTGGAGCCAGAAATTGAGCCCTGGGCTCCCTGCTTCTTCCTGAAACCCTTCTCTTAAGGGCAACAAGTCCCAGCAAGCTACCTGCTCTGAATGCAGCTGTGGATGCACCAGGGAAGAAGGTAAGACCCACAGAAAGCAGTTTCTGAGACTGCAATATCTATTTATATGTAATGGAGAAGATTAGATAACAGGACTTACCTAAAATTAAATTGCAGATTGCTGTTCGTGCCATTTTAATGTTCTGAAAAGATCCCAAAATATGAATTTTCCTGTAAAAAGCAAAATAGCTTTAGTTAATGGAAAAAAAAACCTGCTCTGTGATTACATAGTTAACAGAGCATCTAAGTTGGAGGTGAGAGATAAACATGGGTTTTCAGATGTGTGCCAGTTCCTTTTCCACAGTTGTAATTAGAAACCCCCAATGCTCAAAATCAGAAAACCTGCAACACAGAACCTATATATATAGTTTGCATATTTAAGTGTAGCAGCTTTAGGAAGAAAACATTGTTGCAGGGTTGGTGGGTTCCACTTTGATTATTCGTAAAAAGGAATTCTTACGCTGTGTAGAATCACTCAATTCTAGCTGTGCTGGTGACGTTCTCACAGTCAAATAAATAACAGTTAGTGCTCATTAAAAATAACAATTAAAAATTTATTTTACTACTGCTTTACCACAGTTTAAAAAAATTCAAGTTATCCTTGTTCCTGGAAGGAAGACATGTATTAATTTAGGGACTGTGCCCTGCCTAGAAGGAAGTCAATACTTACGCATCAGCAAGAACTATTCGCGTCCTGGTTACATTTTCTATAGTGAATTTTGTTTTTCCGCCTTTCCCTGCTATTCTCCCGATTGCTCTTGACAGATGATCTCCTTTCAAAGGTTTGACTAAAATGAGAATTACATACTTGGTAAAACAGTGGTGGTGTGTATCTCTAATGATTCCTTGTTCAAGTGACTGGAAACAACTCATTAAGTAATATGAAAGCAACTTTACTATAGGTGAAATGTATGTATCTATGTTCACGTATGTGACTAGAAGCGAATATAGATCTAGTGGTACATGACCATAGGCATCAGAGACATTCTCATACAGAAGGCACTTTCTTCATTACTGAGCAATTAAGACTGAGGAAAGAGAGCCAGAAAGCACACAGTTAACACCAGGAGAAATTAAATAGATCAAGTTTAGATGCTGTTTTCCATGGAGCCTATTCCAAGAAGTCCCACTAATACACAAAATATTCCTGCTCTCTACTTCTCCTTGCTGTCAGCATATGAGGAGGAACAAAGCCCCTTCCAGTTTAGAAATCTAGTGGATGTATTCCCCCAAACACTCCATGTCACCTTTAAGTTTAAAATGACATTTATGCTGTGACAAGAAAAATCCAATCAACCTGACAAAGATTACATGCTTTTAAGGATGAAGGTTGGGGGGGGGGGGGTTGTTGGGACATCTTACAAAAATGACAATCCTTTCAAGCCACCTGTACCTAAACAATAATTCTATGTATTGGCAGGAAGGTTTTCCTGATCCCTGGGGATAAGTGACGAGTGGGGTGGGGTGGGGGGGAAACTCAAACCGAACAATGCATTTGTGGATGGTACATATGACTACTTGAACACTGCAGCAGAAAGTACTTACCATCTGTAACTTCAAACGATTCTAGGAAGAGATCATCTAATCTGATGAGAGCAAGAGCATCCTAAAATATGAAGAGATTTGTATCAGTATGAGTGTTACAGTACCACAACAGCTTCTGGGTTTTTTTTTTTTTTACACCTATAAACAGATGCCATCAGTAGTATTTCCCCACTTATATCAAACAATGCTCACCTAAAGTTAGATCAGCTATCTTTTTTCAATAGCAATATAAGTATTTATTTCTGTGTCAAGAACCCTACACATGCTTAGATGCCCCCCACATTCACCGCAGACCCACCTATACTAGTGAAGTCGCAACAAGTCTGCAACAACACGCAGCCTGTACAGTTCTGCAAAGTTTCTGTGGTCTCCAGGGAAAGTTTGAGTTTTGAACAGATGGATGGTTGTTGACTGGGACTAAAGCAAACATCCTCTGTTTCATAATTTTAATTATGTGCTGTTTGAAGATTACTTTTTTTTAATCCTGCATTAGCTTAAGAAACTAGACTTCCAGTCACAATTTCAAACAGATTTATTTCTAGAAAACCACCTAAGGGGTTTTTTTTATCATTTTTTGTTACTGTAATTTGCAGAGAGGCCAAAAACTTCATACAAATAAAATCTGAGCAGTCTCGCAGTGGAGCTGTTGTGAGACTCACCTCTACTTGAAACCCAAGTACAAATGCTTTCACAAAATCAGCTGCTTTTGTTAGAGCACTCAGATCCTTTGTCTCTTGACAAGTCTGCAAGACAAGAAGTTACATTTGCAAATTAAGACCGTGCAAGTAGGGTCAGGGCTTGAAAAATCTAAGAGATGAGGCTAGCCCTGAAGAAGCCACATTTAGGTAATGCTTCTATATTGTGTTTTACTGAAAGACCCAACTAATACACTTTGTGCTTTCTTACAATGTAGATCCTCAATGACAAGAATGCACCAACTACCCCAGTCTGTGTTTGGAGGGGGAGGGGAAAAAGAGAAACTGCTGAAAGTCCCCACCACCAGTGACCAAAACCAACCTTTTTTTATGAAAACCAACAAAAAAACCCCACCCAGACTAGACTGCAACACACAACAGCGGGGTACTTGTATACTTTGTTTTTTCCCTGCCAGGAGAGGCCACAGGCTTTGCTGACAGGGCCATTCTTTCAGCTCGTGTTCTAAAACTGGGCCAAAGTATCCCTCTACTGCCAGTGGGAAAGTCTGTGTGCATCTGCACTTACAGAGCCTAACAGGGACACCTTGGAAAAAAGCAGTCTTTGAAGCTGTAAGAAAAGCAAAGCAGGAAACAATACTTAAGGAAGATGATTAGGTTGATATCTAGAATACATCAAAGGTATTCTGAAGTGTCATTTACAGCTTCCATGCCGTGTCAAAGAAATGACAAACTAATTTCAAAGTTTTTGATTGTTTTATATGCATGATAGATACGGGCAAAATTCAACCACCTTGATCAAGTACAGAACTACCCAATTTTCAACCAGACATCATCCAGTGTCAAAAAGCAGTGTTAAAAGTCCTGGGTTTTTCACCTGCAGAGTCATTCAGTGGAACTGCAAGAGTTCCTGCTCTGCCCTACTTTCTCCTTCAAGTTATTTCTAGGAAATGTAAGTAAGGGACAGTTCCGTCACCTATCCTCTTAGTTGCTACCATCGAACTTGTGGTCAGATTTCAAGGTTAGGAAGCAAAATTACTGTTGGTGTCTCTATTTTCACATGAGAAGATCTCATACATCAACACTGCTAATACAGTAACTCATATGTCAAAGGCATAGCGTGAGCTTCGGATATACATTTAAAAACAGCTACTCTGAATATTCCTGAGAAGGAACAAGAATGAAGAATGAGCATTTACAAGATTTAGAATTATGCGTTGTTATCTGTACCCTATGCTATTTCAGGGCAATCCATTAAAGAAAAATCACAAGCAATTAAACTACAGGTCCTTCTACCACAGACACAAGACAGTGGAATCAGTGGCCCCCTGAAAAAAACCCCACTGTTAGCTCAAAATTGTCACGTAAGTATTTAGTAGCCTTAAATATCTGGAAAGCATTGCATTCCAAAATCACATCTAACACACAGACTAAGATTCTTCATTAATTCTTGAGTACATAGTTTTCTCCTATAATTGAGCCCTCTCCCCAGTTTACACTGGCCCCTTTCAGAGGAGATTAACACTTTAAAATTTTACTTGCCTTAACTACTTGCTTCTAAGCAATAACCGACAGATTTTATTCTGATCCCCGGTGAGGGTTTTCTGCTTAGATGAAACTACAGTTTCCAGTTTTCCAAGCATGATCCAGGATTTAGAACGCTTCCCTCGTCTTTAACACACGGAACAAGCATACTTAGAGGAGAGGCACTGCGTTCAGGGTATTAGCTGGGAAATCTTTACCTTGATTTCAACGTTTCTTGTTTTCAAGTTAAACCTGATCTGAAGTTGCAAGTGCTCCACGACAGGCGTGAATATTTTCATCCAGTTCTCTTTTAACGGAGTGTACCTGTTGGCCGGCACCGGGACCTTCCTAATTTCGCCTTTGCCAACCTAGAGGGGAAGAGAAGGTGGTGAACCAAGGGGAGGCCGAGAACCGAACGCCGTTCCCGGGGCCAGAAAGCTGCTCAGCCTCCCGCGGCAGCCCCGGCCCTGCACGCCCGGGCCCTCCCGGGGCCAGG